GTTCCTCATAATCTTCTCTAGCTGGTTTTCCACTTTCATCGGTATCCTAAAGGTAGATAGGAAGTACACTAGTAAGTTAGCCAAAGTTGACTCTATTAGGGTTATCCTACTCCCAAAGAAATGTAGTTTCTCTTCCAATTCACAAGTCTCTTTGTGAATCTCTCAATCATTGGATACCAAAACCTATCCATATTAGGATTTCCTCCCAAAGGTAGTCCCAAATATTGTAATGGCCAATCCCCTACTTCACACCCCAATAGTTCAGTTAATCAAATCACCTCTTCACTCTCTAAATTTACTCCTGCCACACAACTCTTTCTCCAATTAATCTTAAGGTTGGAGATCCTCTCAAATTTATGGACTATCCTTTTTAGGTTCATGAGTTCTTCTGTTTTCCCTTCACTAAACAAAATAAAATCATCTGCAAATTGTAAGTGTGTAACCACCACTTCATCTCTTCCAATTCTCAAGCCTCTAACCATATTGTTGGCATCTTCCCTTATGGTCAACTCAATGAACACATCAATTACTAGAGTAAAAAGGGAGAAAAAGGATTTCCTTGTCTTAGGCCCCTTTTCGCAGGAAAAAAATCTCTTGCTACTCCATTTACCAGAATTGAAAAATGACATGAAGAAATGCAGCCCTTCACCCATTTACACCATCTTTTTCCGAAACCCCTACACTTAAAGAATTTCCAACAGAAACTCCCAATCCACCATGTCATAGGCTTTCTCTAAGTTCAACTTGCAAACCAGTCCCTTTTGTTTTTTCCTTCTTCCAAACTCTACACATTCATTGGCAATGAGAATTTGATCCATTATTTGTCTCCCAAACACAAAGGCCCCTTGATTTGGAGAAATCATCGAGGGAAGAACATATTTTATTCTTAGGGCTAAAACCTTGGAAATGATTTTGTACATGCTTCCTATCAGACTTATGGGCCTAAAATCCTTCGGCTGGATTGCATCTACTTTCTTTGGTATCAAAGCGATGAAGGTTGCATTTGCACGTGAGTTGAATTTGCCCCTCTCATAGGATTCATCAAACACCTCCCTCAAGTCACCCTCAATTATTTTCCAAGAATCCCAACAATCTTGATAGAAAGCCACCGTAAAACCATCAGGTCTTGGGGTTTTAGATTTCTTTCGTGAAGACTGCAATTTTCACTTCCTGAACCTCAAATTTTCTTTCCAAGGAATCCAACAACTCTCTATTCCCAACCCTCCAGTCCAGGCCCTCTAAGTTTTCTCTTGATCTCGTTGGACCCTCATAGGGTGTTTGAAGTGATTCACAAAGTCTTGGGCTATGTCCTCATCTCTTGTCAATACTTGCCCATTCCATTCCAATTTCAACAGAGTTTTTCCTCTTTCAGTTGGTAAAGGAAAAAAATGCATACATGGAACCTAATGAAGAAGGAAAGGGGGAAGGATACATAGGGGGAGAAGTGTGTGAAATTTATAGTCCTTTGGGTTATGAAAGAGAAAGCAAAAGGAATTGCAAAATGAGACTATTAACTGAAGGTGATAAGTCTTTGCTTTGTGATTCACTCATAATGGGAATAGATTTTTTTGAGCTGCGTACCTTTGCTTGTTGGGAGTTTTGGAAGGAGAGAAACAGAAGATTATTTGAAGGAAAACCAAGATGCAAACAGAAGCTTTGTGTGGGAATTGGTTCTAAGCTTTTGAACTGGATTTTGATGCCCCCTAAATTTGGGGGGGGGGGGGGGTCATTAAAGAATCTTTTGGTCTACTCTAGAATTAGAAAATAGAGGGCTTGGTTAAGTGTTATTTGTAATTTCTTTTTCTATTTTTTTTCTTGCGTTGGGTGATGTCTTATCACCTTGGTATCTTGTAATATCTTTTATTTAATGAATTTTATTTTTTATTTATTTTAAAAAATATTTCACTTTTTCTATGAGAACCTTGTGGGCTAGTTAGCCAATGTGACTTGGTTCTGTTGGATGTATACATGAACCCCCAAAACCTTTTTTTTTTTTAAATCTCTGGTTCAGCAGAAGTGCTTCGTCCTACCTCATTCCAGGAAAATGGTCTTACAAATTGTCTTCTCCATATCTAATGATATCTTTGTTGAGAACATGAATTGTGGAGATCATCATATTTAACCATATATGAATAAGATCTAGTCATTTATCTGAATTAGTTCACCTCCTTTGCAAAATTCACTATCATTAAAGTGTCTCTATCTTTTGGGGTACATCATATGCTGTGCTGTGTCTTCTTTGATTTGTGATTTTTACATATTCTGGTTTTAGTTCTGTTAGACAGTTTTGTATGCCCTTAGCTTCAATCCGATTTGATGTACTTTTGACATTTAGTGTAAATAAATAAAGTGCATGTTTGATCCATGTTGCTTGGTATAATTCTGTGTAAGACCCTAAAATTGGACACTTATTCAGGCTCGTGTTTGTTTTAAATGTTCACAGCCATTGGATAAGTCTGGGGAGATTTATCCTGCCAAGGCTGATACTGGTGTGCCGCCAAGTGTTGGGATGATCTGTCTCGGCCACCAGGGTAAGACCCAAGGCACATGTAGTATGGGATTACTTGAATCCTTGAACCGGACCAGATTTCCAGTATTGCTCTGGACCTTGGAGATAGATGGGCAAAACTGGAAAGTTACACCTGATCCTTAGACTCGATTATGACACTTCACTAGGTGTCGGATCGGGCTGTCTTTGATATGCCAATCAGTGAGTTCCTTAGCGGGGATCAAAACCTGGGTATGTTGGGACAGTCTGAGAATTCATCTGAGTGGGTGATCATAGTGA